GATTACTGAACGTGTTCCAATCAAAAACATCCATCAAAACTCAAAGAATTGGTATACAGAAATCCAGTTTTCTCTTATATTTTTCAAAATCGTATTTCCAGATTTAGGCGTTTTCATGGCATTTTGATTATGCATTTATATTGAGTAATGTATTCTGAAGCTAACTATATGGGTTGATTGTGTTTTTATGAGCTATACAAGAAATCGCCATGGTTGTACTTTAGGGTTTGCAGGACCTCAAAATTGGGGGTTTTTAATTAAAGAAAAATTGGCCTTCAAGACCACCACCATTCAACTCAGGGCGTTCTGACGGTCATAAGGGAACCCTCGCGCTCAATTTATGAGCGTCGTAGGGCTAATCGCTATTTTCTGGTAGCATGCCTAAGAAAACGCGTAAAAAACCGTTGCCATGTTTATTGTATTTTCAGGAAAACGAAAACAATGGAGAAGATGAACTCGTGGCTAGCCCTGATTGGCTCTTTTAAAAATTCGCGCGCAGAGGCCCCCACTGACGTTTGTTTTATTTATTATATTTGTTGTTTATTATATATTAACATGTGCAGATTAGCTCAGCTGGCAAGCGTTGTTGTTGTTAATCCTCATGACCTGGGTTCGAGCCCCAGGTCTTCAATATTCCAATATTATTTTTCAATAAAAGTTCACATGCACTTCAAGACTGAAGACGTACCATACACTTCCAAACCCAGCATGCCACGCGTTCAGCTTCATCCATCACAAGGCTCAGAATTGAGGAACATGGTAGATCCAAGTCAATGCTTCAGCATGCTACCTGGCAAAAGTCCAAAGAGGCCAAGTTTAATAGGCCAGATTACTAAACTTGAACCTCCATGTTGGGGACCACAACCCCCCTAGGTTTGCATATTTTTCACTTTCTTTATTTTTTTATTTATTTAATTCTATTTCTTTTAATTATTATTTGTTTAAATTAATTAATTATTTTCATAAATATAAAAAATACATAAAAATCAGAAAAGAGTTCAAACAATAAATAATTTTTATTTTAGTATTTTCTTAAATAAATTTGCATGTAATTAAACTTAGTTTTAAATTAGGTTGTAATTTTAATTCTTTTCATAATAAAATCTAAAAAAAAACCTAGAATTAGGCTTAGTTAATAATTTTTCATCTTTTTATTTTTTCTTTCATAAATAATTAAATAGTTAAATATTTATTTTTATAGCTAAATTGCATGTAAAAATTAGGATTAATTTTAGGTTAAAATTCAATATTTTCTTAAATAAATTAAAAATAAAATAGAATTAGGGTTAGTATTTAATTTTAATTAATTCCTCTTTTATATTAAATCCTAAATACTAAAAAAATACCAAAAACAAGTTCTTTCTTTTTTTTTAATTAATTAATTCATCATTAATTCAATTTTGGCAAAAGGGTCCAACGCCCTCGTTTCGTTTTAATTCTTATTAATTCGCATTTTTATTTCTTTTAAATATTTATGTAATTCTCCCAAAGCCGTGTAAATAATTGCTCGCACTCTTTAATTCCTTATTTTCTTTTACTTTATTTATTTTTCTGTCAAATCGGGTCCTGGTTAATTTTGGCGATGTGGACCCGCGCCTTTGTAATAGCTTTAGATCTTTACTTTCCCGCAAATATTTCTAACTGTTAAATCAAAGCATGAAAGAATGTATGGACATAAATAAAAAACAAGCGTAGAACACCAATAACATGACAAGATAAAAATAAATGAATCTGACACACAAATCACACACCACCCCTAGGGTACGCCTCACTGTTGCCTTGCCTCGAAAGGTGATCGTCAAGTAGAGGATGTCTTAGTAAGTCCTCATGATCCGGGAACCTGGCATGAGGGTAGCTTCTAAGGTATCTTCCCATTGCTCTGGTGATCACCATGTCCCGAACTTCGAATTGACTCGAACACCTCCAACGGTGGTGCTACCTACCTCTCAATGGTGGGATGGCACTACTTTAAAGGACATTTACACAGACGAATTCCTTAGGGTAGGTAGACGACTCTAGATACTTGCTCTAAATTTCAAAACAAATCAAAAATACTTTTCACAACGACACCTTTTCAAAAAGCTTTCGAAAGCAATTTTTCAAACACTCTTGAGGACCGATACAAGAGTCGAACTGAAATTTTCAAAGAAACTTTTTTAAAACCCACAATTGAAAAGCAAACAAACCATTTTTGAAAACACAAATGAGCAAGTATCTAAGAGCCCATGGATAACCATGGATAGAAAGGGTGCTAACACCTTCCCTTTCTATAACCTACCTCCCGAACCGAGAGCAATCTCTTTAAGGAATTTTTCTGTGCTTTTGTCCTTTCCATTTGGAGAAAATAAAAGACGGTGGCGAGTCTTGCTTCCGCGAAATTTCGCGAACCAGCGTTAAACAGTCAGTTCCAGATCCACCGATCACAGTTACCATTACGTTTTATCCCGAACGCGTTTTTGTAGCATTTTTCGAGTTGTTACTACTATTGTCCAACAACTTGCAGCTGCTATCCAGCAGCTTATTCATGCCATAATCCTCCTCTGTGATCATGATAAGAAGTGTGTTATCATCATCCACCTCCTGTCGAGCAACTTAGCCTCGTTGCTTTTATTTTCACTTCATTTCACATTATATTCCTTAGCAAAATGATCAAGTCTATGACAATTGTAACACTTTCACACTACTCTTGTCAAACGTTTGGAACAACCTTAGCCTCATTGATTTGACAACTACCTTTGGAGTTGCCCTCACCTCTTTGAACCATCGAAGCCTTTGAATTTTGTGAATCTTTTCCACCAAAATTCTGGAAATTTATCTTCCCTTTCGAAGACCACTTTCCTTTCGATCTTTTACTCTTCTCATTGAATCGTGCTTGCAACGCAATGTTCACTTTCTCTTTGTCATTTCCCCTTTTATCGATCCTTTGTTCATGAGCCTCAAGTGAGCTTTGAAGCTCCTCCTTGCTCAACGTTTGAAGGTCCTTTGATTCTTTGATTTCAACCACGATATTGTCGAATCTTAATGTTAAAGAACATAAGATCTTTGCTACAATATTCTGTTGCGAAATGGTTTCACCGCAAGATTTCATTTGATTCACCAAATGCATAATACGCGTTATGTAGTCATTGATTGACTCATTCTCTTTCATTTGCACCCATTTGAATTGTTTCTTGTGAGTTTGTAACCTCACCACCTTTGCTTTATCATCCCTTTCATAAGTGTTCTTCAAGATCTCTCATGCTTGCTTCGCCGAGTCGCAATCGCCAATCTTTTCGAAGTTGCCATTATCGACGCAAGAATGAATCAAGAAGAGTGTCTTGTAGTCTTTCTTCTTCTCTTCCTTGAATTCAGTCTTCTGAGCATCTATAGCTTCTTCCCCAAGTGGTGTAACACCATTGTTAACCACTTCAAGAACGTCTTGATATCCAAACAAAACTTTCATTTGTTTGCACCTTTTATCATAGTTTTTTGAATCAAGGGTTGGAAGATTGGTAGGGACTCGATCATTGGAAACAATAATCATCTTTGTAGAGGATTAATGGATCAGAACCAAGGCTCTTGATTCCGAATATTGAAACAAGCACAAAGCTTGTGTGGTGAATCAATAGTGAAATATGGTTAATTGGAGAAGATGAAGTGAATTTGGAGATATTAGAGAGAGAGAGAGAGAGAGAGAGAGAGAGAGAGAGAGAGAGAGAGAGAGAGAGAGAGAGAGAGAGAGAGAGAGAGAGAGTAATTGAGGAGAAAAATGTTAATATGATACTTATTAACTAACAAACATTACACGAGGGAGTACTTATAGGATACAAACATTACACCTTGGAACCAAACAGGCCCAAAACAACTCAAAAAACACAAAAACACTGGGCGAAAATCGATTTTCCAAAACGAATAATCGATTTCCGCAACTAAAAATTGAATTGGAAAATTGAAACAACTTGTGGATTTTTATTTTCCTAATCCGGGAAATTGATTTCCTCTTCGAAACTTTATTTTTCTAGATTTTCAGAAGTGCTTTTTTTATAAGCCGTTTTTAACAAAACGATCCCATAAACTTTCATAATGCGTTTGAATTATTAAGGACTTCTAATATCTCTTTCTCCACGTACTTCATAGTTTAACAAAATGTGTGATTATATGTTCCAACAAATATTAGTTCTATTTATTTTATTTTATTTTAATCTAATAGTTCTTGAGTAATATATTATTGAAAGGGATGAAAACGGCGAGTTAATTGAAATTTCTACGTCAAATTAAAACCTGCAAATAAAATAAATCAATTTAAATTTATTGGACAATATATGAGGAAAACAGAAACTTATAAAGCCTTGGTGGCAGAAGATATTCATATAAAAATGCTATTTAAAAATTAAAATTCTTATTTGCATTACAATAAAAAATAGAAAGAATTAATAATGATCGGAAAGAGATAATGTGAATTGAATTGAACTAAAATTGGAAAGACAACTATTTATATTTATGGAATAATAATTTCTGAACAATTTGAATAAACTCATTATATGATATATTGTAAATCTGATACGTTAAAAACAATAAATAAATAAAACCCGATACTCTAAATCTTATCCTTTAATTTTATTTTAATACAGCAGTTTCAATAATTTATTATTTTTAAAACATTGATATCGTTACTAATTTATTTTAATCAGCTGTTACACTTCCTAAAATAGATTACACAAAATTAATTAATATTATTAGATTAAAATAATTAAAAAATAAGATTTAGAGTAATTTTGTTAACTTACTTTTTGAATTAAAATATACTTCAGAGTTATATTTGTTGTAAGTTAAATCAAATATATTATTTATTAAAATTATATTTACTTAAAATGGTGAAATACAATTTTACTATATTAAATAAGATTAATTATTATTTTATCAATTCTAATGAATTTGACTTTGAGTGTATTGATATATAAATTGGTGCTACTACTGTGCTAGATCATCAAGCAACTTTGTTAAATAACAAAATTGTAAAAATGAGAAACATGATATTCTTAGTGATGTTGGTTTCAACTACTCTTTCAAGTCATAGAGTTGATGGAAGTGATATTACATTGAAAGAACATTTTGAGTTTGAGAGACACCTCAAGCTTATTAATAAGCCTCCTATAAAGAGTATTCAGGTATTATTTTCATATATTTAATTAATATTTTTTATCCTCATATATAATGTGATTAAAACGTTTCTTATGTTTGATTTTGATGATTTTTTTAGACAGAGTTTGGATACATAGTAGATTGTATTGATATTAAAAATCAATCTGCTTTTGATCATCCTTTGTTAAAAAATCATAAATTACAGGTAGAATACTCATCAATTTGGTTAATTATTTTTTATAATATACATATTATATTTTACAAGTGATTTATTTTATCTTTCTTTCGTTGATGTAGATCCGACCAAGTTTTTACTCAAAAAAGAAAGAAATAGGTGTGAATATTTTACCAACTAAAATAAGATTTGAACTTGACCAAATCGTCTGTCCTAAAGGATCTGTTCCGATTAGAAGGACAACAAAAGAAGATCTCATTCGAACTAAATCTTTATTGAATAATAATATTTTAGTTAAACGCGCTGCTCATGTAAGTTTTTTCTTAAATAAAGTAATTTTAAATTTTCTTAATTAATCTTAAAAAATGTTAATTATTTTTAAATAAATTTTTATTTCTTGTTACTTCTCTCTTTCATATTTTAATAATTTAACAATAATATTAATAATTTTTATTAATTATATTATCAATATATTTTTAGATATGTTTTGACTCTCAACCGCATATTCTTGATTCATATATAAATATCAATCCATATTTCAATTTTTGATTAATATTGAATTTGTAGAAAGCGGAAGTATATATTAAACCTTTATATGGTGAAAATTATTATGGAATAAGTGGAACTACTAGTGTTTATAATCCAAAGTGTAGCATTGCTCAAGCAAGTGCATCTAATCTATATGTCCGAAATGGAGAAGGAGACGCTGTTAATGAAATTACTGTTGGATGGCATGTGAGTTTAAATTTATTATATTATAACAATAAATTTATCCTATTAGTCAATCTTTTTGTTTGGTAGAAAGAAGACTACTAACTATTATGGTATAAATTTTCATAGGTATTTCCCCATATAAATGGTAATGATCGAACATTTGCTTATGCAACATGGACAGTAAGTGATAGGTTATTTAATAAATTTAATTATTTATAAAAAATATTTTTAATTGCATTAAATAATTAATTTATTTGATTTTTATATAAATTAAATATATTAATTATTCAATAAATATAAAAAAATAAATTTTCTTTTATAAATAGAATCAAGACATATTTTAATTATTTTTTTCTTTAATTATGATAGTCAGATAATTATGTAAAAACGGGATGCTATAATACGCAATGTCAAGGTTTTGTCCAAACCCACCGTCAATATCACATTGGTGCACCTGTGCAAAAGACATCTGTTTACGGTGGAGAGATGGTAGACATGCCAATTAGTATTGATCAAGACGAAAAATCTAAAAATTGGTGGATAACAATTAACGGTAAACCAGTTGGATATTATCCGCAAGCTTTATTCAGCAACTTGAAAGAAGCTGTTCAAGTGGGATGGGGTGGGGGGACAATAGCTATCGGTGTTCCTAGCCCTCAAATGGGATCCGGATCTTTTCCTGATGAGAATTTTGAACATGCATGTTATTTTAAAAACATTGGATATAAAAATGGAACTAATTCTCAGTATTATGGACCTGAGCATTATGCGGCAGAAACTTACCATGATGCCCCTGAATGCTTTGGAGTTGAGTACTATGACAAACAAAAAAGTCCGTACGGATATTCTCTTCAATTTGGAGGACCGGGTGGCCAATGTGGAGATAATATATAGCTTAAATAAATAAAATATGTAATATTATCATAAATTAAAAATTGATGATACAAAAATTATCAATAATAATTTCTTTTTCTAATTATTTATGCACTTAATTTCATATATGTTTCTTTTTCCTAATGATTTTAATGATATTTTTATTGGGTGAGAATATGGGCACGAAAATGTTTAGAAGGGGGAGGTGAATAGACCATTTACCTTTAAGATAATTTCAAAAATATTTTAAGTCCTATTAACGAAATCTGAGATTTTAAGAAACACAGAAGTAAAACACATTAACAAGAGAACTTGGAAGCATCTCAATGAATTAAACCAAGTGAAATAATACGCGATGTTATTAAGGACTTGATTGCTTCTAATATATGTCATTCACAAGACAACCGAAACTTCTTGATTTAAAAACTCTTTACATAGATTTTCGTTCAAGACATAATTCACTTTATGATAATCCATTAAGATTGATATACCACAAACCTAAGTTTATAAATAAAATCTCTATAAGCACAATCTAACCTATATGGAATATAAATAATATAATAATGGACTAACGCAATAACAATATCAATGAATACTAGAAAATTAAAAGAGATAAGCGAACAAGAAAAGATACATAGGGATATATAGTGTTAGAACAAGACTTAGATTCTGTAATTAATCTCTGGATTTTAATTATAACAATACGTATATTTTATATGTAAACAATTTTGTTTCTAATTGTTTCTTGAGCATGCAGATTAGAAGTTCTAATTGATTCAGGACTGTTGTCTGATGAATCATCAGAAATATACTAAGCACGCATCAGAAAGACTATTGCATCCACTTCTGAAGAAGCATCATTAGTTCTGAAGAATGCTAAATGTTCTCCACAGAAGGATATCAATGTGTACTTCTCAACAAGTTGCTGCTTTAGAAGTCGCAAGTGTTTCTAGAAGAAAGAATTTCTGTTAGAGCTTCTGCTTCGAGATAAGAAATCAAGATTGCACCAGAAACAAGCTTTTGCTTCAAAGACAAAAAAAAGTCAAGATTTGTTCTTCAGAGGAGTTGTTGCTTATAACTCTGGTGACAAAGTCAAGGTTCTGAACACATCAAAGAAAAGCTTTTACTTCCAAATCAAAAGTCAAGATTTGTTCATCAGAAAAGTTATTGCTTCTAATTCTGAAGATAAAGTCAAGATTCTGAAGACTTGAATACTTCATGGAATATACGCTCATCTTCTCAACATAAGAAATATTCCATCAGAAGAAAAGATCAAAGGAAAGTTAGATCTTTTGGACTCATCACTATTCTACATCATATAGTCCATCAGAAGACATTTTTGAAGAAGTATATGTTCATCAACCTCCAGGTTGTGAAATTATAAAGTTTCTAGAACATATTTTTAAACTTAAAAAAAAATTATACGATCTGAAACAAACTCCTATAACATGGTATGATAAACTAAGTTCTTTTCTTTTAGAAAATGGTTTTTCTAGAGGCAAATGGACACTACTCTTTTCTATAAAAACTTCGAAAACAATTTGATGATATGTCAAATCTACGTTGATGACATTATTTTCGTTTAATTGATAAAACCGTCGTAAAATATATTTATAAAGCCGTCGTAATACACTCTTGTTTCCAAGATAATGATAGTACAATTGGTAGCATATTAAGATGAGATGCAAAATCTAGCTAATATTCTTATGACTGGAAAATTGATGTGGTGAAGTATCCAAGCACCATCACTTTAAGCATTTTTGTTTCAACAATGTAATTATATCACGCATGATCAATTATTATAGGATCGCCCAAGCTTATTTGCAATCACTTGTAGTGCACCAACCTGTACATTGGCTTAGGCTTCCTAGAAACCCTTTTCCTTTTCTTTTCTTGAGTAAAATGAATCAAGATAGAAACTTCGTTATCATTCACTGATTACATTAAAGCGAGTTATCATAACATTGTGGAAGTTATTTATCCTCTCCATGGTTTGTTAACCATAAGACCCATGCATCCTAAATGTTCACAGGTAGCTTCAGATAATCTAAAATTTTATAGTTATCACTAATATGTAAGTTCAGCAACCTGTAATGGAAAGATTTAGTCAGTTCAGTTTCCTTGAATTAAACTTTTTTCCTTCATTTCATTTCATTTTGTATGAAGACTAAATGTGTATTACACCCAAATAAATTACAAATCAATGTTTATTAAAAATAACTGTACACAACAATGACAGAAAAGTGGACCAGGTAATTATGCTTTACACTAATAATTTATAGACTCCCCACACTAATAACTACCATGTTTCAGAGCTCAATTAATTCCAACTAGATAAGGATGTCTTGACACAAGAACAAGAGACACACAATCATGAAATTGCACAGTTTTGAGATGACTATTTTTGAATGACCAGATCTGGTCTTTGGGCCAAGTTACCCTAAACAATAATTTTGACCATATATCTTCCGATACTCCTGAAATCCTACTCCCAACTTGTCATCATACTTAGGACCTAAGTCAAGTGGACTAATATAGATAGGTGGTGAAGTAGTAGTTTTATAATCCCGCACACACAAATAACTACAATTCAAACTAAAACTTTTTAAAACAAAAGTTGGAAGTACAAAAGCACCATTATGAAAAACTGGCATTAACAATACAAGAACATACCAGTACTCTAAAGAAGTACTTGGTATAGCAGCATCATGCCGACATTTGTATGCACAAGGAAGATGTCTCAACCTTCAAAAAGAGGAAAACTAACATAAGGTATAGATGGCAAGTTCAACCAGGACAAAATATACAACAGAGATTTTTGAATATCTTTCAAAATATCTTTAGAATTTTGAGGATCATGAGACGAGTTTTGGACTTGAGATCATTCAAGGTAGACTCTTCCACGTAAGGAGTCATGCATTGAAGAAGCTCTTTAACAAATGAATCCTCTCATTTTCTATTGGTGCAAGGTGATGAAATTGAGGAAGAAGAGAGAAAAAGAATAAATGCTATAAAGCTGTCACAAATGATTGAAGAAAATTGATTGTATTAAATGTAAACATAGTACACCTATTTATACACAAAAGTAGTAAAGATAAGAATGCCACATATGGCCTAATGAGAATATTCAACAAATGACAAATACTAAATTACCCTCTAATACCATCCCGTAGTTTAGTAACTATCAGAAGTTAACAACACCAATTTCATCTCTCAAGCGAATAAATTGGTCTGTTTTTATCGCCTTTGTCAGAACATATGCCAGCTGCCTCTGAGTGCTACAGTGCAGAATTTCTAACACTCCTTTTTGCACTTGACTTCTGAGAAAGTGATACTTCGTCTCAATGTGCTTGCTTCTTCCATGTAGCACTGGATTCTTGGCAAGATCAATTGTAGACTTATTATCAATCATCAGCTTCATAGGTTCCTTAACTTCAACCTTCAGATCATGCAGGAGATTCAGAAGCCAAACTGCTTGACAAGCAACTACATCACCTGCAATGTATTCAGCTTCACATATTGACAAAGCCACAACAGGCTGTTTCTTGGAACTCCAAGAAATTGGACCTCCCAGAAACTTGAACAAGTACCCAGAAGTACTTATTCTGTCAACTTTATCTCCACACCAATCAGAATCAGAATAACTCAAATTCTGATTCGATCTTTCTTCTAGAAGGAAATAACACTCCATATTTTAGAGTTCCTTTTACATACCTCAGAATCCTGACAGCAGCTTGATAATGAGACCACTTTGGTTTGCTCATGTATCTGCTGACCATTCCAACTGCATAGCAAATATCAGGTCTGGTGTTACACAAGTACCTCAGAGAATCAACCATCTATTTGAAGGTTGTAGCATCCACATCCTCTCCATCATAATCAGATTCCAATTTCTAATTCGTATCAACAGGTGTGATAACAACCTTGTAATTTGCTAGCTCAAATCTCTTCAGAAGCTCTAGTTCATACTTCAGCTGATGTAAAATGATTCCTTTCTCAGAGTATATAAATTCCATCCTTAGAAAGAAACTCATGTTTCCAAGATCTGTCATCTCAAACGCATCCATCAGAACTTTCTTGAACTCAGCTATCTCTTGTTCAGAGCTTCCTGTGAGTAATATGTCATCAACATACAAACAGACCAGAATCATATTACCTTCTGAAGTGTGATGAACATAAACACCATACTCCATCTCACACATCTGAAACCCTTGTTCCTTGAAAAACGAATCAATCTTCAAATTCCAAGCTCTGGGCGCTTGCTTCAATCCATACAATGCTTTGTGTAATTTGAACACCATCCCTTCCTGATTCTTTTTCTCAAATCCAGGAGGTTGTGAAACGTACACCTCTTCTTGTAATGGACCATTCAGAAATACAGATTTTACATCTAAATGCATCAGAGGCCAATTTCTGTTTGCAGCTAAAGCAATCACCAGTCTGATTGTTTCGTGTCTAGCTACAGGTGCAAACACCTCAAAGTAATCTAGTCCAGGTTTCTGAAGAAAACCTCTAGCCACTAGTCTCGCTTTTATGTTTTCCAATTAATCCATCTGGCTTTAGCTTTTGCTTGAAAACCCATCTGACGCTAATGGCTTTCTTGCCTTTTGGAAGTTCTGTCAGCTTCCAAGTCTTGTTTCTCTCTATAGCATCAAGTTCTTCTTTCATGGCATTCAGCCATACTTTCTTCTTGAGAGCTTCTTCAATACCCACTGGTTCAGAATCTACTAACATGGCACACTGAACGATTTCTCCTTCAGAATCTACTTCAGTATCATGCAACATGCTAAAATCTGCAAACCTACTTGGTATTCGTCTGATTCTCTGTGGCCTCTGATCTTATTCTGAAGCTTCTCCAGAACTCGAAACAATGCTAGCTTCTGGACTTTGTCCAGAATTATTTCCTTCAGAATTACCACCTTCAGAGTTACTTCTGGAAACTTGTTCTCCATACCCCATGTCTTCAGAGTTTTCCCTTCCAGAAGTATAATCACCACCAGATTCTGGATCATCATCAGAAT